CTTGCATTTGATTATTTATCTTCAATTATAATTTTTGTGTGTTTGCTGCAGCACTGCCTTGGCCACTAAGCTTTTTTAACAGAATCTGTAGAAGGTGGAGACGTGGGGTAAGGCTCTCTGCACATCACACGCCTAATCATGAGTAACAATCGTTTTGGCCTGGCCTACTGAAGTATGAAGCTTATGTCCCGAATATACATACATATATATTTCTATAGTTTTCTGCCCACTAAGCTTCATAAACAGGCTTTCGCTTAATTTTAAATCTTCTTTTGTGTGTAGCGAAATACAAATTTTATGAAATTATTTGCCATTCAAGGTGATAATTGAAAATGAACGACCGAGTGGTAGAGTTGGTGCAAAAAGTCTGTGATCGTAGTTTCGAAAAAACTCTATCTTGATTCCACTAAAGCGTTAATTAATTTGGAGCACAGAAGTTAATTTAATTTTATTAACTGAAGTTAAGTCGTTACGTAGTCTTTTAGGCTTTTAGAAGTGAGTATCGAGATGGTACATTTTTTTATCAATAAGAGAGGATGGAAAAGTCCTATATGTACATATGTATGTATGTACTATGTATATATACATTAGGGTGGTCCTTAAAAAATCAAATGAACGATTATTTTCAGTCTCACCCCAAAATCCAAATTACCATAGTCGAAAATACTACGTATAAATTTTGGTCCTGATTGGAGTCGGTTAAGGCGTGTCGCTAAGGGGTCGAAGGCCAGATGCCTCTATGGAGACTCAAAAAATTAAAAATACTTTTTTTCATTTAATACCCAAAACCGATACTACTAAAGTCGAAGATATCACATATAAATTTTGACCGAATTTTAATTGTTTGAGTCTCCATAGAGGAATGTGAACTTTGCCCCTGTGCGACACGCCTTAACCGTCTCCAACCGGGGTCAAAATTTGTATGTGACATCTTCGACGATAGTAGCATCGAACTATATCGAACGTTCGGAACTATATACAAACTAAAAGTCTTTGAAGACTTAAAAATATTCCGCCCCATGTTGAATATCGTCATCGTCAGTAAAAGTGACGATACGGCCATGTTACTGGGCGCTGACGATCGTCGATGATGACGATGACGACATTCAGCATAGGGCCGATTTATCTCGCTGATAATTATTATCAAAAGACTTCTATTATATAAGTCTTAAAATAATAGTTATCGATGATTAAAAAAAAAAAATTCTCACACATAATTATTATCAAAAGACTTTTATAATTCTTACGAAAATTTGGATGACTTTTTTAAAACTCCACCATGAAATAATTATCATTCTGGGTCTCTGAATAAAATCAATTTCAATGGAATACTCTTCACTTTTTCGTCTGGATTACCCCATCCTCTAAGAATTTATTATAGAGACAATCCTAAAATTTTTATGAGCCATATTTTGGATATACATAAATATATAAACTAGCAAATGTTCTGACGGCTGATGAGTACTTTTATTTTAGGGTATTACAACCATACGTACGTACGTAAATACATATCACTGCTGTAGATATTATAATAATAATAATAGATTGGCGCTTACACATATGTTAGTGTTTGGCCGAGCTTCTCCTCCGATTTGTGGCGTGCGCCTTGATGTTGTCACACAAAGCGGAGGGACCTACAGTTTTACGCCGACTCCGAACGGCGATTGTGTTTTTATGAGAAGCTGTTTTTCATGGCAGAAATACACTCGGAGGTTTGCCATTGCCTGCCGAGGGACGACCGCTGTTAAGAAAAAACCTTTTTTCTATATTTTTTGCGATGTTGCTTTAACCGGGGCTTGAACCTAGGCATTGCGGAGTGGAAGCGCGCACTGCTTACCACTACACCACAGCGGCCGACCGGAAAAAATAATCGCTTCAACATTTCCTTATCTCGTCATCTGATTAGAATTTGATACATCCCAGTAGGAAAAGCTTAATGTTTGCCAATTAAGAAAGATTTCTTTTTCAAAAGCTATGGCCAATGGCTTTTTTCAGATGTGGTAATGTTTCGCAGTATTTTGTCCATTTTCATTGCCTTTTCGATACTTTTGCAATGCGTTGTTTTATTGCTATGCAATAATGCGATAAACCTTAGGTTATAAAGGTAATTGTGACTACAAATTTTCCTACTGGGATCGCTTGGCGTGTTGCATTAGAGAATCGAGCTCTATCGTTTTTTAAAGACATTCAAAGACAACCCAATGAGACAAGTTCAACTGAAGGTTGAACAGAGATAAGAAAACTTAGCCCACGCTGACACTCATATCCAAGGACCATGTGCATTAGGGTGGTAAAAAAAAAAAATTCCAGCCACCCTCCACAGCTGAAGAATATCAAAAATAAGGAGACCCATATTTTTTTTTTGTTATATTGAAATCGATCAACATTTAGTCGTGCCGCCGGAGCTTTGAAGTTTTCTATATATTTCATATGGGACAAAACAAATTTTTTCGTAGAAATACTATAAAATCGTTAAAGATCAAATCAAAATATTACCCTTCAGAAATCTTCATCAATAAAATTATAATGCATATTTAAATTAAAAAATTTACTATCTACTACGGGGAAATTTCAAAAAGTTTATTTTCCTGTGTATTTTTCGACCAACTCAATGTACGCATACGAATTACAAGTATACGCACGTAGTCCATTTTAACTGCTTTGGTCACACCGACACATATTTTTTGGTCAGTTCGTAGTGGAGCCAATTCAAATGCAAATTAAGTTCAACAAATTCGCGTCGTGATAAGGATGGTGCAAATTGGTAGATAGTTGAAAAGCTGATGCCAATAAATCAGCTGCAAGGCACCTGACGTATGTATGCACATGCATACATACATACATATGTAGTATGTAAAATACATTGTATGGAAAAGCGACTCTAGTTTTATCTTAGGTAAACGCACGTACATATGTATGCGCGTATGCACGCTGGTACATAAAACGAGTGAGTTTACGTACGCAATTCGCTGGTGGGCTTAGTATTGTGCGAGATTGTGGGCTTGGCCCCTGAACACGCTTCCAAGGCCGTTCAGGTGCAGCAGCTACGCATACTCACTGTGCCTGCCACTGTTTACACGCATGCGTGCCATAAGTATAAATATACAGCATATACATATGTTTATTACATAGATACATACTAGCATACGAACTTGTATATGCATATAGCCGCATAAAGACAAATGTACGCCAGCTAGCTTGCCAATTACGCGCTTTTTGCCACAGGCAACGATGGATGGCAATACACCATTTACCAACAACAATTTGTTGCATTGATTGTTTTTGATTTGAAATTTGCTAAATATTAGACTCTGGCTTCATAAAAGCACCGAAGACATGCAATTTGTTGCTCTGCTTGGAAAATGTGTGAAAGCGCCAATCGTCGACCACTTTTGTTGTACATATTTCATGTGCTCACATGTTGCTTTTGCTGGCAGCTAAGCAAATGTGTTAGATCAGTTGTCAAGACCGCAAGCCAAGCCCACCGTTGACGCCTCTAGCTAGCTGCCCAAACCGCACGCATGAAAGCTAATTTGTTTTGCGAAAGAAAAACCTAAAAAAAGCAGAAACAGAAGCAACATAGCTCAGGACCACCAGCTGTGGACCACATACCACACGCTTGGTGACAGCGAGAAAGATTACAACACGTCGCGATTTTATTGCACAGCCCAATCATTAAAGGTGACACGCTGCTTATCTAACAGAGACCACGGCATGAAAGCGTAGCCCCAGAGAGCTTTATGAGACTCGCTTAAACTTTAAGAGTTTGTGACACAGCTGGGGTTTTTTACGTCCCCCTAAAACTAGTTGGTACCTAGTAAAAATTATGAGGTGTCCCTAATCTACACCAATTTCAGATCATCTGAGACAGGGATGTTCATGAAAACTTTTCGCGGTAGCTGGGGATGTAAAACAGCAAACAAATTAAAAAATCAAAGAAATTAGCTAGGAAAACTCAGGATTCAAGGCCTGCTCATACAAAAGCTGCAAATTTTGCTAACCAACTCGTACAGCAGAAACCTTTTTGAATCTGTTTTAAAGAACTGACCGGCACGGGCCTCGCTGATCTACATAGGTCTATGAAAAAGTGACTGCCAAAAATTATTTTCTACGTCTCGCTCAGCTAGAAAGCTTGCTTTAATAGACCATGTAAAAGGTTAATCAGTGTTCTTGGGTGTTTGCCAGTGTCCAGTATGACAATTACACCGGCACGGCCTACTCCCTTTCCGCCACGGCTTTCTTTTTCGTAAAGTAAGCTGTCAACAACGATATTCCATTAGTATTGGTGGCAGAACTCTTACTGCAAAACTCTCAGCTAAGAGTTTTATTTCCTCTTTTGGTGAAAATAATTACAAGTTCCCAAATTACTGGAGAAATGAGGCAACTGCTTCTGAGAAATGTTGTTGAAGGTCCATATCTACGTGTCCAATATGTGCTCTAGTGACTCCAATAAGAAGGACGAGACGTTTATTATTCTAAAATGGTATTTTGTGCGAGTTCATTTGTTATCGGAACATCAAGCGAAGCCAGCTTGCATGGGCAGATAGCCGAGACCAACGCGACTTTCGAGACGATCTTGAGTAGACGGCTCTTCTCCGATGTACAAGCGGATGCGATAAAAAATCAACAAATTCCCCATGGTTTTATATAAGCTCCTGGCATCAAAAGTATCCCTTTCGTGTTCATTCTACAATCTTAATTTCATTAATGGCTAGGACAACATTCGCGCAAGCCTACAGTGCAAATTGTAAATTATATTAAAGTCACCCTTCCCCCTTTAGTTATCATTGAGAAATATAAATATTTAAGCCGAAAAATCGCATTTATGAAAATATATGTGTGTATACTACGTTTGCCAATATGTACGTACGTATGTATATCTACTCTTAATTATACCAGAAAATGGCCTACGAGAAAGAACTCAGCCTCAACTGTAGCCTCAGTTACAAAAAAAAAAGATAACGCTTAATTCTTTAGTAAATTTGTTTCATTTCGTTTACCTTTGTGACGTTAATTGCACTGGCGTCGTCACTTTCACGCGCTTTCGACTGTGGCGTCTTCGTCGACTTATTTGGAGAGCGGGGAGGCAATAGACCTCTTCTGGCCTCCGACTGCTGCGTTTGTTTATGTTTCTTTTGAGTTTTATTTGTTGAAGGAACACCGTGTTTAGCGCGGCAACGAACCGAATACGGCAGTTCAATCTGAAAGAGAGAAAACAAATTGAAAACTTTAAATCTTCCAGTTCATACATACACATACATATATATGTAAGTAAACACATACAACTGTATACGGGTAGGTACTACTCAATTCAATTTAAAGATGTATGATTTTAGTTAGAAGGTCTGTATGTTTGGAGGTACATAAAGGCAGTATGGATCATGTATCTTGAAGGGATTGTCTTTGGCGTTCTGTCATCTGCAGTGTCATTTTTACACCCTATACCAAAATGATCGGGGCGACGAGCTGAGTCGATTTATCCATACCCATCATTCTTTTTGAATTCAAACTATTTAGTTCCACAGATTTAGAGATATCCGAA